TCATCCGGTCATAACTACAATTCAACTAATTTCGTTCTAAGAACCGAAAGCAATTAACATTAAACCCTAAATCTAGGGTTTCCCATTTGATGCACAACAATTAACCATAACATAACAACATGTGCTGAGGTTACCTTGGTTTGCTAGCTTTTCCACGCCTTGGCATCCTATGGTTGTATAATACAAATATTAAAAATTGCATGAAACCTAAGTAATGATGATTCTTAGGTTGAAAAATCCGACTAATATATAACGAATCGATGCGAAAAAAACTAGGAGATGAGCGAGGATACCTTGCTCTCGAAGATCTACAGATCAAATCAAAGTTTCCAAGGTTCAATATGTCGATTCGTGAGGTAGGGCGAAGTGGGAGAGAAAAAAACCCAAGAGGGAGGAGAAAGAAGAGGAAGAAGGCTCGGGCAGGGTTAAAACACCACCTCGGCACCATAGATATTGGTGCCAAGCTCGGCGCCAGGATCTACGACGCCAAGCTCGGCGCTAGGATCTACGGCGCCGAGCTGCCTACCAAGTCACCGCACGAGTCTGCGTCGATCCCAAGACCTCGGCGCCAACAACGATGGCGCCGAGCTAAGGGTCCAGATTTTGAAATCATATCTCCAGAGACATATTTGTGAAATTTTTTTCAAAAAAGGGCTAAAAAGTAAAAAAGTTGGTAGTTTTAAGCCCTTGTGAGTAAAAGAGATAGCATTTTAAATTTCTATAGTAACATACTAACTTTTTATTTACTTGTTTTCAAAACATATGGAAATTAGACTTCCTCTTTTGTTTTGTAATTTTCAATTAGCTATTTGCTAATTATAAATTGTATGTGTTATTTATCAGTTAGGTTTCTTTTCTTCGTAATTCACGTGGAGATCAATTAAACTATTATTTTTCTTAGTCTTTATCCAAATGTTGTCTTCACTAATTGTGCATATGTTTTACATGACTCTTTATTTATTTATTTATTTCGTTTCCAACCCATGTGAAAATCAACTTGGTATTTTTTCTCCTTCATTTATTATTCTAAATTAAGTATATTTATACTAGGCATTAGCTCTTTGATTTAAATGAGACCGTAAAATCATCGTAATTTCTAGGCTCTCACGGCATCATGGTTTATTCTTCTAACACTATTCTATCTAATAACATAATAGATAGATTTTCAATAGAATTCGATAGATGGCATGTTTCTTAATAAAAAAAAACATTGTAAAAATGATTCTTGACAACGAATGAAAATGAAAGCTGCTTGAGCGAGCGAATGAGCTCTCGAGGCTGGACTCTGACTTAGGCTTGAAACTAGCCAAATTTGTTCGCGGAAACGTGTAAACAGCGGAGATGAGAAAGTGAAAGCGGTGGTGGCCTCGCTGCCGCGATCATCCTGTCTGCTGCGGCGTCGCTCTCGGGGCGTCGGGCGTCAACCCGGTTGATCTCCCTTCGCCCGCCGAGCACCGAAATAATAATCCCCCCCTCGCGCCGCTTGCGCTTGTCGCCTAGCCGGCCGTAAATATTCCCGCGCCGCTTTGGAGCATCTGACTCCGGCCTGACGAGAAAGAAAAGAGGACGATGGACGGAGGAGGCCCAGCAGACGGCCCCAGGCCCTCCTCCTCTCTTATCCTGAAGGAAAACTACCGGCCAGGCACGAGCACGCACGGCTCGACAGCATCAGCGTCAGGCCTAGTACTCGTACTGCTCACTGTCACTGGAAGGAACTCATCTGATGCGGTACTAGGTAATGATCCGCCTGCATTTTTCGAGCTGCTAGCCGGCTTTGGCATGCATATATGGACTACCCTATGTCCCTGCTATGATGAGTGATGAGTTGTTCTTGTTCTTCAGGGAGATGGGTGGTGCTCCGCAAGCAGTAATTCAGCAGTGACATCTTCCGGATAAGCTCTAGGACTAAGTGCCCGGCCCTTAGCGTTTGTCAGTTTGTGTGCGGCTGCATGCCATGTAGCGCATGCATGCATATTCTATTCCCCGGGGTGGTGTATGATGTGCTAACCATCGGCCTCACCAAACGTAGGCCTCCAAAGGGCAAGGTCAACCCTTCTGTTCTGCTCGCACATCAATCGACCCTTCGACTGTACTGGTCTGGTATTCAGCCCTGCCCGTCTGGGACGGCACACGGACGGCAAAGGCATGGCCCTGCCCGCCCGGCTGCATGTCCCTCATCCAGCGGATTCTTCTTTCCTTCCTCCCCCTCTGGCGTAGTCTGGCCCTCTGGCCTCTGCTGTAAAATCACGCACGTCGTACTTTGCTATTCACGCGTGCGTCTGATGATCTGATCTGGTCTCACTCGTCTGGTGACTGGTGTCGTCCAGAGGCCAGAGCATATATTCCAAATAATCCTGCAGCGTGCCAGAGGACAGTTACAAGACGGCAAGCTAGGAGCTGAAAACTTTTCACGGATGCAAATCAAAGGCCAGTCGGAACAGATCTTCTCCGGCGCCTGCGGCATTCCGTCCGTCCCCAGCCATACTACCTTACCCGGTGAGAGGACGGATAGGGAAGATCGATCATGTGGCTGAAGCAACTTGTCACTGATCTCACGAACGTGCAGATTCGTTCTGAAGTGCATTCATGCGGTCAAAGTTTCCGCCAAGAGCAAAGCAATGCTTGCTTTCCAAAGGTTTTCTTCGGGAACCATGCATGCATAACCAACAGCGACTTTGTTGCAAAGGTTACCTAGCCTAGGCTATGGCTATGGTCTATGGCAAGGCTAGTCCAATACTACGGCAATACGACCTCGTGCTTCCTCTTCGCCCGCAGTACGCATTCCGAGTCCCCTCCGTACCACTACTGGTACGTGCAACACCGATGTATCCATCTACGGGACTACGGCCATACGCCGTCGATCGACGCATCGTCTATCGTTCACAGCATCGTGCAGCAGCCACTGCCAGCAGGGCAGGGATGGAACGGAACTGAATTCACCGGCCGCGACTGACTACTCATCGTTCATCACTACTCCCTCTGTCTCAATAATTTTAACTTGAATTTACAGGAAATACGTGCAACATTTCTATCTTTAAATAAATTTATTAAAAAAACTAGATTCAAATATCTATCGAATGATACTAATTATATATTATAAATATTAATAATTTTTAATATTATTTGGAAAAAGTCTACTTCACCCCCCCAACTATGGGGGTGGTCTACATAACCCCCTCAACTATGAAACGGTCTGATTTACCCCCTGAACTTTCCAAAACCGTCTATTTTACCCCCCAGGCGGTTTTCAGCGACGGCTTTGCTACAGTAACGGCGGGTTTGTCTTTTTCCTTATTTCCGTTGAATCTTTGAAAAATCATAGTAAATCACAGAAAAATCATAAAATGGAAAATCTAATTTTGTTGGACTCCACATGAGTAGATCTACACAGTGAACATATAATATAGTATGCTTTAGTACAAAGTTTTTGCTGTAGCTTTAGATTAATTGGAAAATCCAATTTTGTCTGTAATTAATTAGAATAATTCATAGTTGCAGCTTCTATGGTCCAATTGTGGTGAAATTTTTATGGTAGGTTAATTATTATATGCTTAAACTATAGTAAAAATTTCGTACTCATTGGACCATGTTTAACTTAGTTATAGATAAATTCCAATTAATTACAGACAAAATTAGATTTTCTAATTAATATAAATCTACAGTAAAAGTTTTGTGCTAAAGTGTACCATATTATATGTTCACTATGTAGATCTACTCATGTGGAGTCCAACAAAATTAAATTTTCCATTTTATGATTTTTCTGTGATTTACTATGATTTTTCAAAATTCAGCGGAAATAAGAAAAAGACAAAACCGCTGTTACTGTAGCAACCCGCCGTTGTTGTAGCAAAGCCGCCACTGAAAACCTCCTGGGAGGTAAAATAGACGGTTTTGGAAAGTTCAGGAGGTAAATCAGACCGTTTCATAGTTGAGGGGTTATGTAGACCATCCCCATAGTTGAGGGGTGGAGTAGACTTTTTCCAATATTATTTAGTTAAAGTTGTTTCTCGAGAACCGAAAACGACGTTTAGGGACGGAGGGAGTACTCATCACGCTCGATCGCCCGACGCGCGAGAAAGAAAGAAAGGTGGCAGCGACGACCGACGAAAGCTAGCTGTGGCCGGCCTGCTTTATTAGCAAGAGGGCACAGGACGTATTGCCGAAAGGCAGCTCCATGATTGTCAGTCAGGGGGCCTGAAAAACAACCGGGGGTCCGGGTTGACGACGAGACGAGGCGATCGGCGATCGGACGGGGCACGCAGCAGCCACGCCGACGCCGGCCGGGCCGGGGGTCGCGGACGACATCAGCTAGTGCCTGCGGGCTGCTGAGATACAGACCCAGTCCGGGGTCCGGCCGGCCGATCTGGGCTGTCACCTTTGCTTTGCCCTTTAATCTGCAGTCAGGCTCAAAATGAACGGGTTGACAATTCCCTGGCTGCGATCATGCCGCCGCCTGACTGGCTGCTGCCCGATCGAAGCATTTGCTTTGCTTTGCTGTGCTGGAAGATGGAGGATGGAGACTGGAGATGGAGAGGATTTTCAAGCAAGGCCATCATCCAGGCCGGACGATGACCTGCCTGTCGTGTCAACTTTCTTTTTTCTTTCCAAGCGATCGGAGGAGGGGGTGGAGTGTACCAGCTTCTCTTCGTTGCCCAAACTGGGGTCGTAGATCAGATCAGCGGCTAAACGGTGGGTTAGTTTACAGCCTTGTTGTTGGACTCTGTATAGCTAGGTAATAACGTGTACCAGATGAGAACGAGATGGTCCTGAAGCCTTTTTGCAACAGGGAAGAAAGAGGGCTTAAGGGACCTATTCAGTTTCTGTACAAAGAAAAACTGAAAGCCAGTGGGATCAGTGCTGACTGTCGTCCTACCCTTTTCAGTTTTCACCATTTCACCAGTGGGGTGCTTCACCCTGGTTCGTTCTGTATACAAAAAACTGGTGAACAAAAGAAAAGCTAGGATGGCAATGGGCCGATCTGCTCAACCTCGCTTGCATCGCTACTCCTGGCCCTCGCTGCTGACATCCATCTTCCGGGTCTGAGCTTTGAACATGCTAGCAATATCGGCGGCCGTGGCGCAGTCCTCTGGGCTCCGGTCTGGAACTGAACGGATGTACCTGGGCATCCTCACTGAGATGCCGCGCGATGGATGGACAAGCCCAATGGCCGCATGGTGAACAGGGGACAACGTCAGGTCTGCATGGAAAAACAAAGGCAGATAAACACACGTTTCGCCACTGACATATTGCATTAGCTTATGTGGTACAAGTATTGAAAACATATGTCAGGCCTTGTTGGATGTACTCATATCCATCTCAATCCACGTGTGTTGGATTGGATTGGGGTGGAACTTAGTTTAATTTCCACCCGATCCACGTCCAAACAAGCCCTGGAAATGCTAATAGGAGGGTCTTCACGTTACCTGAACCTCGGATCTCCCAAATTTGTTCTGCGGTGAACCACAGCTCTGGTTGCTCATCTGTTTTGTAGTAAACAGGCTTCTTGGGCAGTATCCTTTCCCCCGAATAAAACTCCTTCATCTGTAGATTAAATTCCAAATATCAAAGCCATAACCATTGAAGGTGTTTCTGCAGAAGCACAGAGATCTGACACTGTTTGAAATTGCCTTGAGTTTTAAGTATAAAATGACAAACTATATGTCTTTGTAGACAATATCTCAACTACCACTGAATAGAGATCTATAATAAATAAATAAGTAGGCACATAAAACTACGCACTCACTTTGTGAGGAAATTGCATCATACAAAGAATCATACAATCATGCGCTAATTTCCATTGTTGATCATATGAATTCTTAACATTCATTCTTTATGACCAATCACTCATGAATGATGTGCACCTTTTTATAATAGCAAAACCATTCAAAAGAAAAGGAACCACTTGGAGGGATCAGCTCCCCCACATTCAAGCATGTAAGCAAATACTGACCATCTTCTTAAAGATGTAATGCTACTAGGAACAAGCGTTCCATTGAAACATCCAGGCAGCAATTTATTCATACCTCTTTATAGAACTCATCTGAGAAACCAGACATAACACGGCATACACTTTGGAACTCTTCAGTTTCAGGGTTGTAGCATGCCATGAGAAAAGGGCTGTACCTGTACAGATAAATTTGGGCACACTAGGTCTGGATTGTTCGGTAAAATAATAAAAGTTGAAACTAGAGCTGATTGGGACTAAACCTACCACCCAGCTTTACGTCCATTTCCATACCATGCACCAATTGGAACTAAGTCAAGGCTATCACCTAAGCCTTCCACATAGTCACGCTTGACCTGAAAATAATGATAAGGGCATAAGACTTCAGGAGCTTCAGGAAATAAAAAAACATCAAGCACCAGTTCGGTACTGAAATATGTTTGCACCTTTAACCATGAATCGCAGCGTTTGGAAGCAGAGTATCTAGCATCGACATCCAAAGTCTTTAACATTATACCCTCACAAGAAGACTGGCATGCATTTTTGAAAAATGTGTTCATCCTAGCTAAAGTGCTAGAATTGTCTGGTGAAGCTTCGTTGGCTTCTACCTACATGGTAGAAATTGATTGATTCATGCGAAATTACAAGCATCCATGAACAAATCTTATCATAAACAAAACAAATAATTAAGGTTGTGCACTTGTGCAAGTTCATGGCAATGACAATTAGAAGGTGCATGTTATTCCAGACCAAATCATGTATACTTTAAACTTTAGGTTGGAGATGTGAATGCTCATGCAGTCATGCTAAGGTCATTCACAATGTACAGTAACATTTGATTTCTAGGATATGATCTCTAATTTACAAAGCCGCACTGCTGAAATGCTATATTTCAGGCTGCAAAGCATAGATTTTAATTTAGAGTAGTGCAAATAACGGGAAAAATTAAACAAAAGAAAAGGAGAGGTCAGATACCTAACATCGACAACGTCTCAATGAATGGAAAAGAAGGAAGTGTCATTTTAAGATTTAGAAGGTGATTCAATAGTGTCACAGTACCAAAATAATGTTGAAAATAACAACGCATGCATGAAAAGGGAAGTGCTTCATTCTGAGATGAAACTTACAGTTAGCTGCTGAGCTAACTCAAAATATCCTGGCTTCTCCTGGAACAAGTCATGAATGTCTGGATGAAAGAAAATCACAGGAAGAAGTTTAATGGCACCCATTGAGACATGTACTCAACAAAGCAGCAAATTCTCCTATTAGAACTTTGCAAGTGCTTCTAGATAGTACTGAAACATACACTTTCTTCTTTGTCGAAGAGGGCAATCCAGTAGCCTGCAGGAGCAGAAAACTGTTAAACCCCTGATGTTTTGAATAAGACAATAAAGTTATACAAGCGAAGGAAGTAATATGCAGCTGCTTTTATAGCATTTAGTGGATATTGCCATGGTACTGTACCAAGTGCAATCACTTTCGTAGGTGCAATTACGAAATTACCTTCCATTTTAAACACCAAATCAACATAAGTATTCTAAAGGAAGTTGAGGGTCTAGACTATAAACTATTGAGTATTGTAACCCCCATTAAAATTTCAACCTCATACTTCAGTATGTAAGAATAAAACAATAAGATTGCTCCGAGTGGTAGCATTTGTCTTTAAATTCCTTAATAAAAAATGATAAGTTTGTGTTCCTGTTAGCACAATCAATTTCAGTTTTAATACTTAATAGTAAGTAGAGTAAACTAAGAAATAATCTGGAAGTGTTTGCCATGATTTGGTGCCCAACCAAAGGTGACGGCAGCCTCAGCAGAGAGCCGGAGATTGCACTTCATATCTCCCCCATTTCCATTAGGCACCTCATGCGACATGAATTTGAATCATTCATATTCTATGAACTGGAAATAGAATAAGCTACTGTACATCACCAGCAAACTAAATATGTCATAACTTAGTAATTGAAATGTGATACAGTTAAATTAGCCAAAGGGCGCCTAGCTCAAACGGTTAGGTGACCCAGCGGCACTCCTCAGGTCCTGGGTTCGACTCCCCGTGGGAGCGAATTTCAGGCTGAGGTTAAAAAAATCCCCTCGCCCGTCCCCGTAACCAAAGCACTGGGGGGACACCGGCCCAATTCTCACTTGGGCGACGGAAAGCCACCGTGTAAGGGTGGGGGCGGGGGTTCGGGGGTTTTCTCGGCCGGGTGAGAAGGTCCTTCTTCTTATTTGTAATGCTGCGGGGGCAGTCTTAACCCCCCTGGTTGAGGTTTTTTTTTATACAGTTAAATTAAATCCAGTTAATAACAGTACCGCCATAGAGTAAAGCAAATGAGCAATGGATGCTCTCTACTTAGTTTTTCTAAGAGAAGGTTTGCTTCTTACAATTACAAATAAGTCCTTTCCGAGATTTCCACGAAATCAAGGACTCAAAACTCAAAAGTGTACAATATTCTTACCTCTCTCCACCGTGGAACATGATGTCAAAAACAAACACACAAATGTCAACCTGCAGAGTGGACGTCACATTACCAGGTGGATAATAAGATTGATTAAGGGAAAAGCATGGACTCAGCTTTCAGTTAAATATATGAAAAATGAGAGTCCATACTCAGAAAAATGCTCCATATCCTACTAGGTACTCATTTGTTACGTGCAATGCATTTGGTTTGAACACAAGAACTATTATAAGTTCTGTGCTAAGGACAATTGAGATACTTATCTACCATAAAGGTGGATGAGTTATTGAGCTCTGGCAATATCTACTGTTGAAATGCATAATCTGCTGCAAGTATATTTGATGATTGGTAGTGATAAATAACCATTATTGAAGAGAACTAGGTCACTAGGGACTTGGGATGGGACTATGTTGTTCAGTTAAAGCTGTGAACTATAACGAATCAATTAGAGAAATTAATGAACAACTACAATAATTCCTCAAAGTTCTAAACTCACTGGCATTAGTCACATAAAAGTACAACCCATAACAACATTTGGTAGTCCAAAGTGGTAATGATGCTTAGTAAATCGCATACTCACCTTTATGTTCTCTATTGAAATTGAGGAATGCTTGTTCCCTCTTTCTCTTGAAGATAGCTCTTGGAACGACATCAACTTGTTTCCTTTCTTCCTGTCAATTCCCACCACCTAGATTTGCAAAACCATAACAAAAATAGTTTGAGGGCAAACAAGTGTAGAGATGGCAAATCCTTCAGAATTAAACTGACCTCAGCATCCAGTATAAAGCTGGACACTTCAGGCTTGCACAGCTCCTTAATCATGTTCACAAGATCAGGAAATCTGGAAGTTGATTCTTTCATTTGCCTTGAAAATATCCGCATGGATCCATCAGGTAGTTTGTGAATCTGGGCACGCTGACCATCATACCTAGAAGTGACATTAATGAGAAAATTTCAGTGTTTTTGTATCTGGAGAGTTTCTAATAAAGTGGGGATCCGAGCATGGGCCACTTGGTGAGAGTAACTACTTCTGGTCAATACAAATTATAGACCTGAACGTTGTATGGTAAAAGGAATGAACGTATAAACTATGCAGGCTCAACAACCATCATGAATAGGGGCATATTCCCTCCCAAATCCCAACTTGCTTCCTCAGCGCTATAGAGTTTTCATGATCCTTCAAATATAGACAAGTTATGCTTAAAGATAAAGGAATTATTTCTTTCTTGGTTATTGACTCTTCAAACTGTCAGGAATTTGAAACATTCTCCTCCATCTCAGGAGTCTGAACTCAGGACTTCAGGGGTGATAGAAAGCTCAGGTTTAAGCTACAGTCTTGGAAGATATTGTGGTTCAGGGCAAACCTTTCTGAAACCTGGTACAACTGTAATCCCAGGGGTTGTGATTAGCAATTCATAAAATAATTTCATGTTTTTTTAGAAATAGGATAAACCTGCTTATAAGAAAGCAGAAAAAATTAATTTAATGTTAAAATAGCCATATAGTTATTTAAGTAGCTCTAGCCAAAAAAATATCTTAGAGAGGCAGTGAGCAATGGACATACTTGTACTCACAAGTAAATGATCTGCCATGGAAAGCTTTCAATGATTGAGTCAACCCGTTAGTAATTCTGAAAAAACAATAAACAAATAATTATAATAGAAACAGCATCACATTTCGCTCAATTCAGACATGTACATACCTTGCAAGCATAGGCGGAATAGGTGTGCCAGGCACCATTGCTAAGGATGAAGCTGAAAATGCAGTGCCTTCTCTCAGAAGAGAAGGAATGAGCAGATCCTGACAAATATTGTATTATTGTCAGCATAAGTAACGTCTCTTGAAGCATCCTATTTCAATTTTGAGTTGAGTATAACTGTCACTATTTGCCGGTTGCACTTACACAAAGTTAATATTTATATCACCTTCAAAGCATCATAGCTACCATCTGTGCCATTTATATCATACAAATAGACTATGGTCATCCTTACTGTTGGCTGGAGCAAACTATTCTCTATTTCAAGGGAGACAATGCCTTTTGATATATATAAAATGACATGCATTTACCTTTTAAAAAGGTGAATGTACAATGATAATGTAGAGTTGAGACTTGAGCATTACTCCAAATTACAGTTTGACTTCAACCTTATTTTGTAGACATAGTTGTGTAGTGAAGATCAGTAGTGCATCTACTCAGTCCAGAAAAATTCACGTAAATTTAGCCTATTAGTCTTAAAGTTAGTACAAATTTTACTTTTAAAATGAGAAGTTAACCAATTACAAGAGACACAGTACAGCCTTTGGACTGATCCTAGATAGATCCACCCCTGATGAAGTTTGCAGGCTTACAGCTTGGGTAAATCCACAAATTTCATGTAGGATGAATCTATTTTTTTAGGAATGTAAACAGTTAGGATGTAAGCAAAGCTTGGAAATTGTGTACCATGATAAATGTATATGACTCAAGTGATAGGTTCAGTGACTTACTAGATTAGGAAGGACATTGTATGCCTCAGCAACTTCAGTTGAAAGACTCTGCGCAAAAAAGGAAGATCCAAAGACAAAAAATTTGGTTCAGAACAATGTGTGTACTTTGGAAATCAAATATAGGGATCTAATTCAGTGGTCCAAATCCTCTTTCTTCTATTTAGAAAGAAATTTTCTAGTAAGGGAGACAATCAAGACAACTTCCCTGGAAGAATTATCAACAAGAGAACGGTACAGGAAGCGTTGGATAACAACTGTTGGGTTAGCGATGTTAAAGGACCCTCTGAGCAGTGCCCTAGTGGAATATCTCCACTTATGAGAAGAAAGGCCAAAATAGCCAAGTACAGTGACCTTATTACAACCAAACATGACTGCTGCCTGCCCCTCACCTCGCGTGCCACCACAGTGTTGTGAGGGCCTTGAAAAGCAGGTGCTCTATTTGAAGGTAGGTAAGTAAATGTGACATTCTCTTGCTGCTTGAATTGCCAGTTTAAACTATTTACCATGTTGTCTTGCCGCTTAAATTGCCAATTTATATTATGTACCAATATGCCATTATACTCTGGTCTATACTCAGTCTGATTTGATCATGATATGCTAATTAAATTAAAGTGCAAGTTGGTGATTCGGTAATATAGTGGTGAATTAAATTGTCAACTGGTCATCGGAAGTCCATTCCATTTTTTACAGCAACTTATATTTATGTTATACCTCTCTTGCATTAACCTATTGGTTCTTTAATATGCAGTTTCTAGTAGGCGTACTAATGCAGACTCATGGACACATTAGCTGTAGCTCAACAATTCTCTGTAGCTCGTATATAGCACTGTGCGCTTTGTTGAACTGTATTTTGTTTACTAGACATGCACTTTGTAGTTTTTTCTCTGTTGTCCAGTACACATCTCACATCTGCATTGGACTTTGTAGTTCATTACTTCATTCTCTGTAGTCCAGTGCACATCTGTAATGTACTTCCACTTTGTAGTTAATTCTGTATAGTCAGTAGTCCAGTACAGCAGTACACATCTATACTGGACTTGCACTTTTCATTGACAAGTTCTATTCAACAAGCAGAATTGATGACCAATCTTTAGCTAAATATAGTGATGTTTGTATTTTACAGGTACTTCAAACTTCAAAAAATGCATGAAGGTTGAAGAGGAAACTATCTATTGCTGTCTAATGCTTAGAATTTCTTTGGAGCTGGAAAAACCTAGGTGACTTTAAATTATCACTTATGTAAAAAAACATGCATGTGTGATTTTTGTTTTTTTTCTCTCGAACACGCAGGACAGCTGCGTATCATTATATTAAGAAGAAAAATGGGATAAGAACCCATACAAGGCACACCCACTCACACCACTATGTCCAAAATAAACAGACTAGCCGTTGGCATACAAAGAAGGCGACCTCGACCAAAAAATTAACTTTCATTCAGCCCTTGGGCAAGGAGGTTATTGATACCTCGTGCCCTTGCCAAGGTCCAATAGAGAAGTTCCTCACCAGCGAGCAACAGAGCTCTAGCTAGGTTTGGAGATTCGGCATCAAACACACACCGATTACGAATATTCCACAAAGTCCATGCTCCCAGAATAAAGATGGAGTTGAGGCCCTTTCTTAAGGGAGCAGCCACTGCATTTGAACTTCTGTCCCACCAATCATCAAAGGAGGTCTCATCAGACTGGGGGGTAAGCACTTGTGAGCCCACTCTTCGCAGGAGGAAGAACCAGAATTCACGAGCAAAGACGCAGGTTGATAGTAGGTGATTGATGTCTTCTTCGTCTTGATCGCAAAGTGGTCAACAGCCTGGGTGTGGGAGGCCTCTTCTTGCAAGACGGTCGGCTGTCCAGCATCTATCTCGAACAACTAACCAAGACATTTATTGTTGTCATTGGTTGGATGGATGAATGCTCAACCAATGATTCTGGTTCAGCTATAAATATTTCATGTATTTTAATTTTATTTATTTTTATTGGTGGTCTTCTGATTTTGTAGCTTTTTATTTTTTTTCTATCAGATTATTTATTTATACGGGCTTTGGTTTTTAACGTTTATTATTTACTTTTTTAGTCTTCACACACATGTACATGTTCATGAAGCCCACAAGCAAGATCAGCGATTATTATTATACATGTTTAAAGAAGCCTCCAGGCAATAACAGGTGTGCAATCCCAAACATGTGTAGACTGGTGACAGCTCCCAAGTGGGTCAAATCTGAGCCCGGGGATTGGGTGGACGGCAGGTACTAACCCTTCCTCAGTCCCAAAAAGAATGTCGTTTTATATTTGGACTGAAGGGCGGGCCTGGTGCAAGCGGTAGAGTCTTACCGCCGTGACCGGAAGGTCCCAGGTTCGAGTCGCGGTCTCCTCGCATTGCACAGGCGAGGGTAAGGCTTGCCACTGACACCCTTCCCCAGACCCCGCACAGAGCGGGAGCTCTCCGCACTGGGTACGCCCTTTATATTTGGACTGAATCAAACTTTCTTAAGTTTGACCAAATTTATAGAAAATAGTATCAACAACATTCGTATCTCCAAATAGGTTTATTGTGAAAATATATTTCATTATCCATCTAATGGTACTTATTACACATCATAAATATTAGTATTTTTTGTATATAATTGGTTAAATTAGAGATGGATTGACTTCTCGAAAAGCAAGAATGACATTCTTTTTGGGACAGAGGGAGTACACAGGTGCAACAGTCCACACATGTATACAATACACAGTTTCCAAACAAGGCCTAGATGGGATTCAGAAACCACTGGGAGTGGCTCACCACCACAGCCCTTGGGTCCAACAGAGGTGGTACCAACAGACGCTTCAAGAACCATATGATATTAGGATCCCACCCATTTGCAACGCAAACCATAGTCACTGGATTCGTCTCCAGACCATCGATGGCTTTAGAGTGAGACCATGAATCCTTCACACACATGACTGGTGGTGCCGATAAGGTCTCAAGTGCAAGAGCCTCCTCAAATTGAATGACAATGCGTCAACGACACCAATGGACAGGAGACAGCGGTGATAGCGACGAAAGTCTGTGAGAAGACACCCCCTACACTCCTCCATCTCCCTCGATTGTGGAATGGCAATTTACACCTCACGCAATTGACCAGAAGTCTCAGTCACGAGTGGACAGAGATGAAGATGCAGCTTCCAACTGAACTGAAGATGGAGGGGAAGATGCTGACTGCATACCACCATCAGGGTGGAACAACTGCTGGCGCAACTGAGCACTCATCCGCTGACCTCCAAGGGGCCGGGGCTGCTTGCAATGGCCAGAGCTTTATGACCTTCCTCCTTACAATGGAAGCAGCGAGATGTGGTCTTCCAGTTTGCCGCAATGTGCTCGACAGAAAAACAGTTGAAGCATCGAGCCACCGACCAATCAAATCATTAGGCACTTGGCATGCACCTTGACGCAGAGAGCTTCACAAGGGAGAGACCTGATGATAGCTCGAAGAAGACAGAGGAGAAGCATGTTGTGGTGGCGACTGACAAGGAAAGGCTGACCGGGAGTAGGAGAGCAGCAGTGCAGAACTGAAGCGAGATGGCTGTCTCATGACCCCAATCCATGAGTTGCCCATCTCGTCTTCCCACATGCCCTTTCCCTGAACATTGACCTTCAACTCATCAACTGGATGTTCAGGATCAGCATATCTAGAGGCTTTCTAGCTCTGGCACCTACACTAGCAAATCTGCCTATAATGCATCTTTTGTTGGGATTATGTGTGTGTGGGCGGTGGTGGTGGGGTTGAGGGAGGGTTGTGCATTACACACAAGTCTCCTTCGTTGTTCGAGAAAAGAATAAAGAGAGAACTTCCTCCAGCACTCTAGTAAACAAGAGAATGGAGCCTTCATGTTAGGCCTATGGGATATGAACTGCTTGCAGAAAGGTAGATAACAAAGGCAAAAGGCTACCCAATTGGCTGGTGTAGAGTGGTTTTTTAAGAAAAACTTAAGACCTCTCTGTGCTAAGTCCAAGCTCTCACCTTATGGGTTCACCAGGGTCATGAACAAGCTCAAGGCTTCCCAACATATAATTTGCACAAAAGAAAATTCGCGTTCATACAAACCTGTAGTTGTGATTTTATGCCTTCCAAGGACACCACAGGATCTGCTGCACAGTTTCTATCAAAAACAACAGCATGTGCAAGCGCAGGTAATATCGTCTTCATCATAGCCCCAATACGCAAGTTATGAACCTGAAGTTAAACAAAGCCACACACAAAATAGAGAAGTGGTGGAGCTTATTAGAAGTTACACAGTAAAAGGCAACATGAATAAGCTATTATATACTAAATTGTAGCTTAATTTAACATACATAGAAACATGTCGCAGGAGTAACAATAAAAGCGAGATGCACCATAAAGTTGATCTCCAACACAGTAAGGGCAAACATATAAGAATTCCAATTTTTTGTGAATGCAAGGAAGTTGTGTATTAATAAATCAATACTTGAAAACTTCAAATTGAGAGAGATAAATATAAGCAATTAAGACCAAAAACATGGAACCAAAGTACAACCAGCAACCATTACATGCAATATCGCCTCAAATAAAAATTGCAAAGTACACAACAGAAAGGAATGGATGGCTCACCAGTGTTCTGACAAGAAATTTTATTTCTGTTTCTCTACAGGACCGAAGAAGATGCAAGACAAGTATTTTTCTCCTCCCAGCACTTCCACTACCTGATATTGCACTAATACGAAAAAAAAAATTGATGATGTAAAGAGGAATTGAAGATAATCCTTTGTCAGAGCATCCCATAAAAATAAACAACATCATGCAAAATATGAATCTTATTATTATCGTCGAAGCAAAGGGTTGAGTTTACCTCATCAACCAAAAAACTGGAGCATCTTACAGATAGATTTTCTTATTTTACTAAGTGTCATGTAGGTATTCCGCTAAAACCGTAAAAAAACAGGAGGAGAAGCCGAGGCAGGAAAAGAGTCCCTAGCTATCAAGCCATTTAGTTTGTTACCAAATCAAATTCAGTTGGTTTAGATTTTGGGGCTGGGCTCATGTATATAAGCAGAGACCGGCCGAGTGTTAGGCAGGCATTAGATTGATTCATTGTGTATCCCACCGTGCCCTGCCTTGCTGGGGCGACGTCAAGCTGCCATTACATCTCCGTCACGCCGACAAAGTCCAGGGCCGCATCCAGTTACTTTATTCAAGTATATAATGCACACCGCAATCCTTTCTATTATCTCTATACTTCCCCAACACATAACATCTAGCACAAGAAAAAATGTTAAAAAAAGTATTATGTCAAACCTAAGCAGATTCTACTGACGAGATGTGTTATTTGTCATATCCATTGCTCTGTACTAATATATCAGAAAATGGTTTTCCCTGTGTCGTATGAGATTGCACAACATGTTACAAAATGGAAGGTACAAAATAATCAGAAATTGCTGTTGCATTACATGATATCTGGGGTAGTTAGTAATTAAAAAGGGCGTACCCAGTGCAGAGAGCTCCCGCTCTGTGCGGGGTCTGGGGAAGGGTGTTAGTGGCAAGCCTTACCCTCACCTGTGCAATGCAAGGAGACCTCGACTCGAACCCGGGACCTTCCGGTCACAGGCGGTAAGACTCTCCCACTTGCACTAGGCCCGCCCTTCGTAGTTAGTAATTACCACATAAAAAGATTGGATATAATTCAAATTAGCCACGATTGAAATTTAGCCATTCATATAAAAGCAATCTTCAGTTGCATGAAATGCTTGGCAAGATTCATGAAGGGCCACTGGCGGATAGTTTTAATTTGAAAGTAATACCTTAGTTTCCGAAGCGTGGAATATACATCACAAATCGAGAGAGGGCGGGGAGGAGAAAGTAGCGTTTGATTCTGACGACATTCTTGAGCAACATTACCTACAAATTACAATTCATCCATTGTTGATACTTGTTACTATAAATGGCAACTCAATCAGGAACAGCCAATGAATGAAGCTACACAATGATGTTGGATCTTGCCATAAGTCTAGCGAATGAATCCATATGTCTTCACTTTGCAAAGAAAATTGCGAAAGATTACACTAGAAGCCTTTTTCTTCTATACTACCAATATGAGATAACAAGTTGGTACTTACCAAGATCACCGTAAGTTTTGTACATTTCATGTATTTTAGATCTGCTGGTTCCTAATGATTCCTCCAGAGTAGTTACAACTAGACTCCCACCAATGTTCAGTTCCTAGCTTCAGTAACAAACATGGGGTTAATGTATTCGCATGTCCTATGACAATAAAAAGGGCGTACCCAGTGCAGAGAGCTCCCGCTCTGTGCGGGGTCTAGGGAAGGGTGTCAGTGGCAAGCCTTACCCTCACCTGTGCAATGCGAGGAGACCGCGACTCGAACCCGGGACCTTCCGGTCACAGGCGGTAAGACTCTACCGCTTGCACCAGGCCCGCCCTATGACAATGCATAGCAAAACTATATTAAAAGAGAAAAAGATGAACAAGGAAAGAATGTGTAACGTTTAGAGCATCATACTGTAAACTATTCCCGCACAGTCCGGTTTATAAGGAGCGCACACATATCAAGATTCAAACTTTACAAACTTTGAGCAATGGTTTAATGCATGTTTTCATTAATACTGATCAACCGGAAAAATATAATCAATTTGTCTACTGATATGCAGATTATTCATAATAAAAATTAAATTATGATCTGGAATGTACTCCCTCCAGCCAAAAATATGTGATGTTTTGGACATCATGGGGTCTCAGAAACATAACTTTGACTAGTACCTTTCACTGCAATATATATTTATAAGGCATAAAGTATAGCAAATGTATACTTTTATGGAATTACGTTTTGACACAAATCTACAAGAAGTATCCCAACTCAATACTATAAGGTACTCCCTCCATTCTAAGGGGCTGTTTGGGACTGCTCCACTCCAGGTTTTCCAGCTCTGCTCCAGCTCCAAGAAAAAGGTGGAGTTGAAGCCTTGGAGGTCAACTCCACGTTTTTTGTGGAGCTCCTCAAGTGGTACTCTAGAACCTGGACTTTTGTACTTCCTCATGGAGTTGAGAGAAATTACCCACCAATGCCACCCATTACACAAATACCGATTTGTTTCTTTCTCCTTTCTCCGTGTGACTGCTTCTGTCTGCCCGGCCCTTCCCTGATGTTTCTCTCGCGCCGCCCCTTCCTCCTCCAGAAACCCTATCGCCGCCGCCCACTATTCCGGTGTAACACCCTGAATTTTGACCTATTTTAAAAACCACTAAAATTTGAACTTTTTAAAACTTTACATAAAACAAATAAATATAACCTAGCTAGGAATTTATTTAGTATCAATAGGATAACTAGGAACAAAACTACTTGTGTGAAATTGCGTGAATGTTGGCTTGCTTGTTTGCTGAACATATGGTGGTACACCTTGCATACTTACATTTTCGAATTTGAATTCAAAAGTCATTCAAACAAATGCATAACAAATCAGGGAAATGGAAAAGGAAAAGGAAAAGAGAAAAGCTTCTGGGGCCCCTTCCTCTCCCGGCCCGCAGCAGCAGCTCTCTCCCTCTCTCTCCCCCTTTCCCTTCCTCCCACACTAGGCCAGCCCAACTCGGGGCCCAGCCCAGCTCGCGCCGCGCCCGCTCTCTCTTCCCTCTCTTCCTCTCGCTGCCGAACAGGACCCGCAGGTCAGCATCGTCATCTACCTCCTCCCACTCGACGCAAATACCGCGTCGCGGTGCTCGCCTCGGCCACACCGCCGTTGCCGCGCCTCGCTCTGCCCCGCGCCGAATGGATAAGAATGACGGCTCCCTCGCGAAGCTTCTTGGCCCCACAGACGCTCCTCCCCTCCTCTCTCCCTCTCACTGGCGTTCCATTGACAGTTTGACACGCGGCGCCATGGCCGCCCCTAGCCGTACCGCCATGGGTAGCCGCCAAGCTACCTCGGCCGCGCGCGCAGATAAGCTCGCACTGTGGCGAAGCGACCTAGTGAATTCAAGCGCACACGCGCGAAGAGGATAAGCCCACGGCGAGAAAATATCTCGCCGCCAGAACCGCCATTGCCGGCCTATAAATAGGCCCGGCCGGTGACGCTCCGGCCTCGCCCTCCTCACCGCTAGCTACGCCAGGGGCGGGAACACCCCATCTCCCCCTCCACTTCTCCTCTCCCCTTCTTCTCCCCACTCTGCTCCAACTTTCCCAATTTAGGATCCGCCGGAGCCATTAGAGCCGCCCACTCTTCTCCCCTTCGCTGCTGCGCCATTGGTCGATTGGAGTGGCAGGTGAGTCCTAGAGCCTCTCCTCTACCTTCTGCTCGCTAGTTGGTCGTCTATTCCTGTGTGTCAAGCCGCCACAGTGCACCCCCCTCCGCCGAGCCGCCATGGCCGTCGGCCATCGTTGGCAAGGCCACACTGAGCACTACACCACCCTCACTGCACTCGCCACTCACCCGCGCTCACGTTCACGTAGTTGGTTGATTAGATTAAGGCCTCTATGGCCGAGTCCACTGCACGGCGCCGCCGCGTTCACTCCGGCAAGCTGCCACCGCCACCACCGTCACTCCCCGTCACCTAGGTCACCCCAACGGCTGCGGCTTGACCTCCCAAGCCCCGTTCACCACTTCAACATCCGCACTGGGGCTCAGCATCGCCGGCGTAACACGCTCCGGCGAGCCCGAGCCACCCTCCCCTGTTCCCATCACCGCACCGACGACCCCCGTCCGTCGTCGTTCCCTTCCCTCCCTCTCTTCTCTCACTGATGTGCGGGACCGAGCAATAACGGCGTCGCCGTTGCCGTCCGTCCCCGTCCGTCACTCCCTCTCCCTCACTCTCTCTCGTTGTCACGTGGGCCTGCGGCCATAACGCCGTCACCCCCCCAGCCCCACCTGTCATACACATGCACCACGCGCGCACACACACAGCACAAGATACACGATAGGAAAATGCTAGGTACACCCGGTTAGTGTACAGAGAGGGCTATAAATCCATTTCTTACTTAGAAAAATTCCCAGAAAATTTGTAAATTAACTAGATGCATTAAGGAAATTAACCATGTAGTTTGCACATATTTTCATGCACAAGAAAATACATGTAAAATTCCACCTAGTTATTTAACTATAGGTTAAACTTATAAAATACATATCTCCCTCATCCTAACTCCGTTTCACATGAAACCACTTCTAAAATTCATCTAAAATCTAGCTCTATCTATTTTACCTGGTACCACCATATTGTTCTATGTTTGCTTTTACCCTTTTATTTTATGTTTGGCGGTAGTCTTATACGATAGCTACGCCCGACAGACGACGGTGACTTCCAAGAGAACGAGGACCCGGACTACGTAGACGTGCCGGAAAGAGACAACAACAAAGGCAAGTCCTAGCTCCCCCATCCCCTTCCACCTTGCTTTACTTGCTACTAAATAAATGAATTGCTTATTGAATAATTATTATCCGGAATATGAGCTCGATTGTTATAATGCGATTAATAATTGCGATAAATGGTTATTTTGTTATGTTATGAGCTCCATGATATAAATGAACTTATGGATAATAATTGTGAACCCTAAAATTGGTAAACCTAAACTAAACCCCGACAGGGGGCGAGTGGAGGTAATTTATGTGGGATATATTACCTTGGCAGGATCGCCTGGTGAGGGTTCCTGCGGGAGATACTCGCCTCGGTCACATAAGGACCGGCTCGTAGTCCCTCTCACCTAGTGAGATATTACGTACAGCCACATGTCTAATATGGGTAGACTTGATCTCACACCCAGTTAGATAGAAGTATAATTTCTACTAGGAGGCCGGTGTTGGCAGCGGAATATCAGGAGAAGGCATGAATGTTATGTGATCTTCCGTGGCCCGGTTGGCGTGGATGCTATGTGATCCTCCACGTTAAGCCCCTTGAGTTTTGGCCGCGTTCGAGCCCATATTATTATTTTTAGATGATTTGGTATCATCGGCACTATTATGATGGGATGATTTGGTATCATCCGAGACTATGCGATGGGAAGATTTGGTATCCTCCCGAGATTAATGCGTTAACCCCTGAGAAGCCGTGGTAGAGTTATATGGATATCTAAGGTCGCGTACATTTGGGTACGGGGTCTCGTTAGGCCTATTCCGTCCACTGATCATGGATGGGATTGTGCCTATCGTGTGGGGAAATTTGTACACCTCTGCTGAGTTTATTAAACCTATTCGAATAGCCACGTCCTTGGAATGGGCAGATGCTAAGATGGGATACTATGATTAGACTTACTTTTATGTGTAATGAAACTGATTAATGTGAATAATGAAACCTTGATACTAACTCGGGAACTAGTGAGAATGGTAATACTCTGTTAGGTCCCAACCTTTAATTATGATCGCTCCACCCCACTTCCATTTTCCACCCTATGGTTAGGGCTTGCTGAGTACGTATGTACTCACCCGTTGTTGACTCACAGACTTCGACCCGAGGAAGACCATGACTATGACGAGGAGGCGCACCGCGAGGACTAGGAGTTACACGAGGATCACGATCGTAGGAAGCAGTCATCGAAGCTAGGGTTTCAACCGCGCTCGAACTTGCCTGTGGAATAGGATATCGCTACGTTGTAAAATACCATCGTATTAGAGACCACCATGTTGTAATAAATGCCGCTTCACGGCTGTAGTCTTCCGATAGATTTGTAAGCCTATGGCTATGCCCTTCAGGCCACTGTTGTAAGACTCTATTTTTAGATATCAATAAAGCTCGGAACCTTTTTATTATATATTTGTGTGCCATTTCTGTTAATTTGTGTGTAATTGTGCATGATCCTGGCGCAAGTACGGATGCACCTTGGACTCTCAAAATGAGGGGCCGACATCCGGCCACCACAGCCAGCGCTCCGGCAAGGTGATGGATGGAACGGATAGATCCGACGATGCTCTACCGGATGACCTCGTTTTTGGTCCCCAAATCATCTCCGGCGCCGGTCGTCCAAGCACCCCCAGGGTTGGGCTGCCCCGGCCCCCTCAGCCGCCGCCAATGGCGACCTCCTCTGCAGGGCTGCGCCCGGCTTGGCCAGGTTAGGCTCCAGGCAGCCAACAGTCAGGGCCGTGTGCCCAGAGGCTAGGCGTTGCCGGCCAGCTGCTAGACACGGCAGGCCAGCCTGTGGTCGCTGGTGGCCACCCCACAGCTGCTCCCCGTCTTCTCCGGCTGGAATGTTGGTACTGAATACTACTAGTGCAGTGCAACGGTACAGTTTCTTTAGTGTGTTCAGAAAAGAAAAAAAAACTCCCTGCTGTTCAGCTGTTGTGCAGTCCACATGGTTCATTTACAGGATGTCCTCAGTTGGTCTTTGATTTGAGACAAGACTTGATTTGGTGTATTCAGAAAGAAAAAATTATTATAGATTTTTCATGGCCGATGAAAATCTCCTGCATGATATATCATTGAATTTCTCATGCAGTGTTTGCAATCATTGAAGCCTAGTATAGATTTTTTGACAAATTAGTACTTTGGATAGTGGACACCAAAAAATCTTTGTCCCTATTTTTATCGAATGTTGTTGACATAAGTAATGGTTCTGCCACTGAATTGGTTGGGACCTGGTAGTGTGAATACTTTATTTAAGCTAGATATGTAATTTACGGAACAAAATGTGTATGTGATTTTGTTCCTTGTGAATCTGCATACTGCAGGTGAGCACTCTTCAAATCAAAGTGATAAAATAATCTGAATTGTGCTGGAGCAGAGTGGTCAAGGCATGGCCGTTCACAACAAAAGTGATGCATGCACCATATTGGTGAAGCCTAATCTTGTGATGTATCATGCTGAAATTAGCATGGCAGATAGGCCTTTTATTTTTATTATCAGCAGTAAATTTAGTAATGTAATCGATTATTGTTAAAGGAATTATCATTGTATGTATATACGACGCACATTTATTTAAGATATTTTGCCGATGCAAATATTTATTGCAAACAGGCACTGGCATATGATTACAAAAACCAAAATATAAACACCAAAAATCATACAGGGGCATATAAGACCTTTCCCATGAAAACCTCCCAATCCTGGAGCTAGTTATATAGCATTCCCACATGAATTTCTTAGGAAACATCATATCTAGTGATGGTGGATTCCTTTCCCTCCAAAATTCCTACCAGATTTCCGTATTCCAAAGAGACTTTGAAAAGAAGTGGGTAAACAAAGAGTAACTGTGGGGAAGAGGTTAGGTACTTACCATATTTTCATGGTCAGGAGAAATTTTATTAGTACATAGATAAACAGCAGGTAGAACATCATCAGGGGATAAGGCAAGCAAACTGCATTCCAGAAGGTAAGACGTTAAGCATTTCCCCACAGTAATGAACATATCCGGTGGACGATCAACATGTATAGAACAATTAAAGAGGTAAACATTCAGAAACCTCCTGAACATGTTGCAAAACATTGAGGTAGTTTTGATCTTTCCTTTTTCCTTTTCAACCAAATCAAATGTGCGAGCCAAATGCAAGTATGGTGCAGGCTGTCCTGCTGTCCAGCAAGCTGCAGAAATGCAGATACATATGGCATGATTAACTATTAAATAAGATGCTAAAGAATATCAGGAATAAGCAGCTAACCATGCTCAATAGGTAGATACTTTTCAATTGGCAGTGATGTATTGGCAGAATCTGCATGTGCTAAAGAAGTTCCTACATGTAAGTTTGACATCTTTGGAGTAGCCTGAGAAGAATCACTAGCCATGTCTGTTTTACTACATTTATCTACAGTTTCAATTTGTGCATTCTGCAGCACAATATTCTTATCAACGCCAATTACATTGTTACTCTCACTTGAACTGTAAAATATGTCAACTGCCACCGCCACATCTCCATTTGCCTTCTCAAGCAAAGAAACTGCATATTCTCTAGACATGCTACCATCTACAATCTGGAGAAGCTGGTCTAAACTCTGATCTTGTGTTTTTGCAGTATCAGCTAACTGATCACCATTTTCCACATTATTTTGATGTGCCTCCACAGTTACTTTTTCAGTCCTTACCCTTTTAAAAGCAGCTTCTGTGGCTTCTGTAGCTCTAATGAAATAATTTGTAATTGTGGACTGCTTGCGCCCACCAGATTCTGTTGAGGAAGTTAATCGTCCTTTCTTTTTTGGCTTCTTTGTAGTGCTGGAACCCCTCTTATTTACCTTTTTGGGAGTATTTAGTTTCATTCTCATAGGAGACAAATTTACCAGTTTTGCAGAGTATTCCACTGGCTTCTGCGAAAATAAAGGAGATTCTTGCTGACTACTTACATCAGCAGAAGACCCATGATCAGAAGAATGGTTTTTCTCTGACTTGGGTGTGTCATTACAAGAAACATTTGCTTCTTCAAAGAAATCTCTTTCCCGCTCAAAAAAATCAGATGCTGCTTTAACAACATCACCACCTGAACTCATCAGCAGGTCCGTGATCTGTTCCTGGCTGACCCACGAGGGTAGGAAATCTGATAGTTCTTTAATCATTTCCTGCGTAATATTTTCCCTCAGAGTATCCTGTTGTTCAGAAGCAGAAGTGATTGCTGGTAACAAAGCAGCATCCTCCCTATCATGCTGGTTCGAGCATTTAGCAACCACATGTTTGCAGCTATGAGTAGCATCTACCGACCTACGATGGAATGCCATCAAGAACTCCTGTTTGTTTGCTGTCTCATCAACCAACCCAGCAAAATGCTTCTGCAGAGCAACTGCCTCCTTACTATCGAGCTTCCCAGCATCCACGCCAACAGTAGGGATCACCCTCTTTGGGTGCAAAAACTTAATATAGTCGCGCAACTCATTGTAGCTTGAATGCTCACTGTAAGGAACAAGATGGATTTCGAGTGAATCTTTCACCCTAATAGCAAAACCTTCCTTCTTGGTTTCATACATCCACCCAGTTGGTACAAACCCGACAGCCCTCGCATACCCTCTCTCCATCATGATCTCCTTCATCTTCACAAAATTCGGCTGGAAGTAGGGCCAAGTCTCCCCTAAGATATTCCACCCAATAACATGCACATCTGTCCCTGTTGCATCCTCAGTAAAAACGCCATTCTCCCCACCGAACCCCAACACTGTCAAAATTTTCATCTTCCTACTGTCCACATGGATTGAACACCCACAGCGCCGTGCAACCTCCAGCAAAATCCTCTCTTTGCCGACCGCATAGGTCGCGATCAGACACAGCACACGCTCTCCTGATACTGAACTCTCATCTTTCACACGTTTGATTGCATTCACTACGTAATCCACAGAATCCTCTTGCGAAAGGAATGTAAACTTGGGGTTACAGTATGTGGTGTCCAGAAACACGGCATCAGCACGGACGAACTCCAGCAGGTTAGCATCGCGCGTCATAGACTCTGTGTAACGGAAGTCACCGGTGTGCACATACCTCTCGGCGCTCGGCCCAGGGGAGGCGAATAGGAACTGGACAGCGCCGGGGCAGTGATTGGCGTCCACGGCGGTGACGCTCCACCCATCAACGCTGATACGGACACCGACATCGAGGGAGACGACAAGCTGAGGCGGGACAGAGAGCACGGATGAGACGAGGCGTGCGGTTGGCGCGGAGCAGAAGACAAGGCCGCGGCGCCAGGAAGGGCCGAGGCCACTGTAGTGGTCGGAGTGGAAGTGCGAGAGAAAGTAAGCGACAGAGAAGTCCCCGGCATGGCGGAAGGCGTCGACGAGGAAGCGGGAGCCCGGGATGAGCGCGGTGGGAGGCACAGAGGCCGGGACGGGCGGGAGAGGCGTGGAGGCGGAGGTGGGGATGGAGAAGGCGTGGGAAGAGGGGAGCGAGGCGATGGAGGAGAGGAAGAGCGACGAGGTGGTGACGGACAGCGATTTGGAATCTTCGGGGGAGGAGACGAGGGACGCCATTGATTGCGGCGGCGGGTTTAGGGTTTGGAGGCGCCGGCGGCGGTGGCGGAGAATGGCATGGCGCGGTGGTGATGGCGCGCGCCGAGAGGCAATGGAAAGGGAAAGAAGGTGTCTACTGGCAAGTTTGGCAGAGCCCTTCCTGATTCTCCATAAGAAGTGATTCAAATTATGATTATCCAGGATAAACTCTATGAATATAATGATTTCGTGTGAGAGTGAATCCGGAGAAACTATTTTTTCAGCTATAAGCCATGAAATAAAAAAGTTATTGTGATATGTAAAAGAGCTTATATGAGTTATGTGGTGTGGAAAAAGTTATAAGTTGTTTGGTTCAAACGACTATAAAAGCTATCCCCTTCTCCTGTCTCCATGAAACAATTTTTGCGACATATGTCTCTACTTCCATCCATTTTGGAAAAAAAAAAAGAAAAGTGAAAGCAGTTGCTTCTAAAAAAAGCAGCTTCAGGGTCAATCTTTGGTTGAGGTTCTACTTTTTTACAGCAGAAGCGCCTTTCAAAAGCTAAACCAAACACATCCTTAAAGCTTTTTGGTAGAGTTTGACTTCTTTAGAAAAACAGTAAAGTGATGAGAGCCATGTTTTGGCATCTTCTTCTCGATAAAAACGGCTTCAGCTTCACCATTTTTATATTGGTTTGACTTCAGAAGCCGACCTTGTATATGCTCATTTTGTAGAGCTTTTAATTGAGCCGGTTGAAAAGACACAACAAAAATCATGCCAAAGAGAACCTTAACCACGGGAGCTAAAAATCATCATCAGATGATCAATATTATTTGAGAATATCCGTAAACCAATTTAGAAACTGAGGTTTCATGTCTCTGTGTTGCTAGATGCCTTGCATTCAATATTTACTTTGGAGGGAGCACATGAGAGGATGTGTTTGGATCCTCGACCAAACCTCACCTCGCCTCGCCTTGCCAGGTGAGAAACTATAGGATAGTTGATCGCTTGGTTGACAAGTAAGCTTCTTAGTATCAAGCATAATCCTTACCAAAACTGAGACAGTTTCGTTCGCTCAGACTAATGAGTTTTCTTGGAACCCGTGCTGGTGAGGCAGGAAGTGTACTTAGGACACCTCCAATGATCCAATGGTTAAGCTTAGCAAACCAGCTCATACTTTATCACGTCATTTAAAAGGATAGTACACAAGATGATCTCTCCAAATCTAACTCCTACATTTCACCATGGGTTTCATGTCACTTCCTTTCCCTCACCTACATTACATCTCATCGTGGGCGCTAATAACATCCTCGTAGTTTCTTAAATCCCAACAGGTGCTCTTTTCATCCACAAAAGAATGTAATTATCACTTTTCGATTCGAGGAGTCAAACGATTTATAGCGTGTTTGGATTGGGGAATAATCATGTGCAACATTGACTGATCAGGCATGGCACCACTACTCGTAGGATCAGGCGGTGATTTGCTCATGTTTGGTTTGTGGAGGCCGCTGCGGAATGAGTTCATCCGACCATTTTGAGGGAGCAACTTGGTGTTGTGTTTTCTGCATGCGGAGCGGATGACTTGATGACGGACGGGTTGGACCCGTGATGGGAACCAAAAGCCACGAGTAGGCTCGGATACAGTTTCAGATGATTCCACGTCGATCCGTTCCGTGAACCAAACACGTTGCTAAGGTTTGACCAGAATTATATAAAAAAGTATTAACATTTGTGATACAAGATAATTACCATTAAATTAATCATTAAATATATTTTTATAATAAAAATCAGTTAGAGACATAAATATTAAAATTAATTCTGATAAATTTGATTAAAATCAAAGTTAGTTTGACTTGCACAAATTTCTACTTCCTCCGTTCTAAATTGTAAGATGTTTTAATTTTTTAATACATTATTATCTATATAATTAGATATACTTTATGTCTAAAAAATATAACATCTAGTAATTTGGAACCAAACAAATACATGTTTCGACGGAGATAGTTTAAAGTATCAAATTGGAGCTGCCCTTGTAAAACCAAACGCACGCCCAGGCAAGGATGAAAACAGATCGGATACGGACAGATATCACTGATATTACATTTGTTTTCATATTTCAGTCCAGATTTGGATTCGAATACGGATAGTGTCAACCATGCCGGATAGACTACAATTGGATATCGACATCATAAATACGCGATTTCAGTATTCGGATATGGATACGGTATCGGATGTTGAATATCCGAACTCGGATACAGACAGATCTAAACACCTCTAAACAGATTCGGTCTCGAATAAGATCGAAAAATATCCGTACCGTTTTCAACCCTACCCCAGGTCACGCAAAACTAACACATCAGCAGCAAGCACGCTCCACTCTTCTCGGTCCAGTGAGGACCAGGTCCAGCCGCGAATCGTTAATTTTTTATAATTTAGCCCTTTTTGAAAAAAATTACGTTTGACCTACTAGGAGACGTAAACTCATCTTTGACTATAGGGTCGGCGCCAGGACTCATGGCGCCGATGTAACACGTCTCGGCGCACCAGATCTTGGTTCCGAGGTGCCTGGCCGAGCACAGTAGGGCAGTCTAGGTGGCGTTGACGTGGCGAGCGCCAAGATCTGTGGCGCCGACCTCGGCGCCATGTATTCTGGCGTCGAGTATGGATTCAAGCGTGTGGCCGCTGCAGCTCTCTCTCACGCGCTATATCTCTCCTCTCCCTCTCACCGCCGCCACCAGCTAGGCCCGCCGTCGCTCGCGCCTCCTCCGCCGGCTGTCGCCCGCTCCACCGCAGCAGGTCACCGGCCGTCGTCCCCTGCGCGCCGGTCGCCTCCCTCGCTCCCTCAGTCACCCTCGTCGCCCCAGAGCTTCCTCCACGCGCACCGGCGACGAGGGCGGCCCCTGCTTCTCCTCGGCGTCCCCGCCGGCCGACGGGCCACCGGTGTTCGAGTCTGGCGGCGCCCTAGCCCAACCCCCCACCGGCTCCCAGTGACGCCGCCCCCTCCCTCTAGAGTCATCTCTAGGTATTTTTTTCTTTAGTTTATTTTTTTAATTGAGTTAGTTTAGATAATGTAGTTATTTGTTTTATATAGTTTTGTAGTTTGGTAAAGCTTTTTTAGTTATTTAGTGATTTAGTGATGTAATTTAGTTAGCTAATTTAGGTAGATATTTATTTAGCTAATTTAGATAGATAGTTAGATAATTTAGTTATATAGGTAGTACTTGTAGTAGATGTAGTTAGATAGATAGGTGGTTTAGATTAGATACTTATTTATTTAGGTAGAGAGTTGGAAACTTTTATATGTATGTAATTTAGTTATACTTATATTAGTTAAACCCGTAATAACTTTGGTGTTGTGTATACCAACTAGATGGACAATGTAGTCACCCTGTATTATGGAGTAAGTGTGGAGGAAGATGAGTTTGGGAATGTCAGTTTTGTTGGAATGTAAAGGGTGCCAGTGATATTCGATGATCGACCATTGTTTTCTGAGTTGTTTGGTAGGGCTCGTGATGAGCTTAAATGCAATTCAAATGAAGATGCCATCTTAGTTGAGGGGGTACTTCACCATGGCAGGTCATGGACAATTTTAAGGCGGTTGGTCCCAATTGTATTAGAGGTTCAATGGGACAAATATGTTAAAACTGTCATGAAGAATGAGTTTCAATGTTTGGATTTGGTTGTGTGGAAGTTGTCCAATGATGCCACCCCTTATGGGTATTCACCCCCTAATGGTCATTCACCCTCTCATGGGTTGTCGCCAGCACCAGAGAATCCGGCACCCTCTGAGCCTCTGTTATCCAACCGTGAGGTGGATGTGGAAGATGTGGTTGTAGTGACCGATGCTCAATCCGCCTTGAATGAGGTTGGTGTATGTACTGGTGTCCTTACAGAATATGGGACTGATGATGTTGGTGGTGCCCCACAAGAGATCCCTTTGATCCAGAATCATCCTAGTAAGTGATTTAGTAACACTTTGGCTTTCCTTATTCTTTGTTCATTCCATTTCTTTGTCTCAATACTATCCATATTTGTGCTTTAAATGCAGGAGACAATCCTGATAATGATGGTTGTGCTCCTGTTCCTCCATCAACCAACGTGGACCCAGGGTTTATGACCTCTAACAGTATAGATGTTGATATTGCGGATGATGAAGAGCCTTATGGCACAGCAAGGGCCGTTGATTCTGATGATGACCGCCATGTTGCAGCTTTGAGCGAACAAGAAATGGAGCTCATCAGACGCTTGTGTCCTGATTGTGATCCACCGGTTCATGAATTCAGCGACTTTAGTCATTCTCAACATGCTTATGGAGAAGGAAGAGATGACGAGCTGCTAGAGGCTCCTGAGGCCGATGACAGCGTGGAAATTCAGAAGGGCATGGTCTTCAAGGACTTACCCATCTTAAGAAGGTCTCTACAGGAATATTCTGTGAGATGTAAGAGACCATTCAAGGTGAGGCACTCCTATGTGGAGCGCCGTTACACGGTGGTGTGCGAGATGACAGATTGCAATTGGAGGTTCTGTGCTCGTAAATAGAAGGCCATAGAGAAATTCAAGATCACCAAAATTGTAGGTCCACACACTTGTGCCCAGACAGATCTAAAATAGAAGCATAGACAGTTGACCTCTACCCTCATTGCCAGAAAGTTATACACAAATTTGAAGGGTCGGCCCAACTTGAAGGTCAGGACAATTATGGAGATGACTAAGGAGATATTTAAGTATGACATAAAGTATGAGAAAGCATGGAGGGCAAAGCAACGGGCCTGGAAGATGACATATGGGGACTGGGAGGAGGGGTACAAGTAGTTGCCTGCAATGTTCAATACAATGAAAGCAGCAAATCCAGGCATGCATTATGTGTATATCCCGAAGCCGAATGAATGGAAGGACAGGAGGCAGATACTCTTTCGTGCATTCTGGTGCTTTCCCCAGTGTGTCAAGGCCTTCAGGCACTGTCGTCTAGTGTTATCCATTGATGGTACTTTTTTACTTGGCAAGTACATGGGCACACTTTTGGTAGCCATTTCGTGTGACG